TATCTCTGGGCTGAATATATGTAGAAATATGTGTGCCTTAAAGTTACTATTTCACAAAAACAATGAATTTGTATGGAAAATTATTATATTTTGTAAACATAAATCTAGCTCACCAAYCMAGCTAAAGATATGCAATGGGCATGGCAGGTTTTAAAAAGTGAATCTCGATATTATGTTGCTGTACTTATTCTCATATATTGCATAGAGTATGGTGATATTTCCAGGTGTCGCAACTTTCGACAATATTCTGAGTGTAAGTTATAACTTATAATTGAACAAGTACTCTTAGTCCCAAAAAAGGTGTTATAAGTTGTTATCTCAAAGCCATAATTAGGATATCAAAACAGTTAACACAGTTCCATATTTCATAATATGAATTATTGAATAAATAGTGCTTTTGCAAGCAGCATTATATCCATGAAACATTTTATGTACACATTTGAATGCACGCCAATACAATTATACACATGTGATATAATATTATGATTTATAGGAACTATCTCCAAAAACAAAGGAACAAGTCCTGAGTTATACTCCAAGGAGAAGGATGGCATTTAAACATGTCAGTACATCTACTACACTCTTTAATAAGAAAAAACAGTTAACAGATTACTACGTTCTATAATTTTAATCAAGTTAGAAAATCCAAGTCATAATGGTCCTAATTGAGATCRCACCCTTCTCCCCCTTTTTTAATCATTTTGRACTGTTTGAGATGTATATGACTATAACAATATTCAGAGTAGGTCATTTTTTTGTAATTACAAGAAAATCAGTTACATCATCATGATGACTTATTATAATAACTGTTTGGAAATGTTATTTGCTTTCTGGCTGAGCATTTTCAAATCTATAAGCATTTCTTGTTTGAAAGGGTTTTGAGTCTGCTCCCAAGAAGGGAAATGAAGAAGCGACTACTTCATGTGCATGTAAGTCATTAGTGAAATGCTTTGTACAGGTGCAATTTGCAATTAAAACCCAAAGCAACAACAGCCACATTTAATAATGACAATGTTTACAAATGTTATTTTCGCATATCAAAGCCTGTAACAATGACAGAACAGCTGGCACACCCGTATTATCAGGTAATAAGCAGAAAGGATATTAATTATATTTTAATTCATTTTTATGAAAATCTTAGTACTTATGAGCTGTAGAGCCTAGAGCTATAATGCAGACAATTATTTATTTAATTTAGAGCCCACATGCAGAAGAAKCCAAAGAACAAAACGCCGGCTTGTGGATGAAATGTTCGCAGAAGGGACAGTGGGTGTGAGTAAGTCAAAAAGTAAATTTATTTTTATTTTTTACATGTATGTACAAGCCAACCTGTTTTTTCAATGTCGAATGTAAATTCCTAGTATGACAAATACAACAAATAACAAAATTAATAATAACTTAAATATCATTTTTCAAAATCATGACAACTGAAGTAACAAAATGTAAAGACTGAAATAAAAAAAATTGCATATGTTACAAAGAATAACCCTCACAACAACTTCTCTCAGCAAACAAATAACAGAAAACAGAACAAATTCAAACAAAAAGATTTCAGTTGCTTTAATGAAGTCTACTATAAGAGATAAACTATACAAATTATATGACACTCACTGATAAGTTTACATAATTTGCTGAACCAGGGCCAACACAAAAACAAGGAAACAAGAAGAAAAAGGGAAGCAAAAGGAAATAAGTCTCTTGACTTAAGTTGAAAAAAAGAAGAATGGTCTNCCTTAAAGCACGTTGTTACTTCTTCAAAATAACCGAGTTTCGTTTCATTTAAAGGTTTAGCAAATTCGCAGTCGGATTGTTTGTAAAGCATACTTTTTTCGACTCGAAAAATATCTCGAACGAAAATAATTATTAAAATATGTTATAATGGTCGAATTAAGTTGAAACTCACGCAATGTACAAACAAAGTATAGTGTTGCTAAGCCTTAAAACGATTAGCTTGTTGCGTTATTCAGTGGTTGTTGATAGCTTCCAAAACTGCCGTTAAAATTCACGGCGAAAATTAGCATTTCGGGGTGCCTTTGAAAAAAGTCGATTTTCTCGATTTTAAAGCAAAATTTGAGCAAACCAAGTACATTTCGATTCTTAGGATACATTCCTTTATCAAACTACAAAATATGAGCGAAATCGATTTTTCGACCTGTGCCACGATTTTTCGAAAATGTTTGATCGTTACAGACATTCACTCTTAAAGAGCAAAATCCAGGACTTTTCAAGGACATTTTATTAAATCCTAAATTCAAGGAGTTTTCAAGGACTCAAAGCATTTTCAAGGACTTTTCCAGGCCTGTGAGAACCACTAAGAAGATCGCAAAAGTTTGAAAGATGTACTGGATTTTTTTTTTCCTTAGGCTCTCTCCAAGGGAATTGGGGTAGAGCGACAAGGGAAGGAGAGGCGATACTCAGTCTACTATTAAAAAAAAACAAAAACACGAACTCTTTCAAAACAAAAAACAGCACGGAAGTTTACTATTCGGAGGCTGGCCTTTAAGACCTCGTTTTAGTGCTTTGCTGCAGTATCCTGACTCGGGGGGCGGGACTCTCCTATATTTGCTATACGGTTATGTGCCGCTTCAGTCTGAGATAGGGTATCAGTTTTTGTCCACAGGTTTGTCTTGGATAGGGTAGCCTAGGATAGGGTATTGTCTCATTGTCTGGGGTAGGGTGGTGTTTTGCCTGTGATCGTATCTGCTAGGCCACGCTTTCAGCGCTAAAGTGATGTACCTTTTTACCTTTAGTCTGGGAAAATCACAAAAAATCACAAATATTGGTCTTGGATAGGGTTTTGAAGCCGTTAAGTTTGGAAGTTGCTATCGATTTTTATGTAATATATAAAATATGAGCGGGATTCCTTTATGGGCATTTAAAAGTGCGAGCTGCAAGCGAACAGTTTTATAGCCCATAAAGGTCGGATATTTTATATTGCTTATCAAATTCCAACATAAGGTAAAGCATATTTCGAAAAAAACTTCAGCATAAAATATCAATATGTAAGAGAAAATCGAAGTTAACGTCGTATGCAAATCAGGACAAATCTCTTGCTCATATAAAGATGCGGTCACGGCAATGATTTTCCATTGTGTTTACCTTATTAATTATTACTACCATTATCGATGAAGTGCGACCCCCGAAGTTCAATGTCTCGTTTTCAAACTAGCGTTTAAACTGCCGTCAATCAAAAAGCTGGGACCGAGTTTGACCGAGTGTGGTTCAAACACGTGCTCATGTTTTATGACAGCAGGATGGCGGATAGTCCTGATCATCTTCATGTACTTTCAGACGAAGAAGATACCCAAGTATTTGAGGGAGAAAATGTAAGTAAACTCAACCAGGCATATAAATTTACATATTTCGTTAGTTAGCATTTGTAGGATTTTCATCTTATTCATCGCATACTACATGTATGACATGTGATATTACCGCTTCAGGTCAGAAGAGAAGTCAGGCTTTTTCTATCAACGAAGAAAGGAAAGGTGGACGGCGTGGAAACAACACCTTTACAGGGTCCGTGCAGAGTATCAGAAACGAAATTTAAGGACTTTTCAATGAGTTTTCAAGGAACAAAATTGTATTTTCAAGGAGCACATTAGTCATGCTAATTGTACATTCGTACCTCACAAACGTTCAATGTATATAATAACAAATATATTCTGAAGATTTTCTTCAAAACTTGAATATATAAGACAAGAAGTTTTTTGCCCCAAAAAAAACAGGAGGTAACTAGGTATTCCGAAACGTTGTAGGCTATTTTAAGTATGTTTCCACAATTTTCGCTAGTGAAGAAAAAGCAACAGGCGTAATCTTATAGATAAGCTAGCGCTAGTGCATTCTTTAGCATTAAAAGCAAATGTATTTTGAAAACAATCGCGTGATTGGCTACGCGCGAGCAACCATTGAACACAAAAATTATCTCGCTAAATATTTTCCTTGAAAATTGGCGAAATCGAGTGCGCGGAATCAGCTATTGATTCAAATCTATCACTGTAAAGATATGTCAAGCAACCCATAACGTTCGATCAGTTAACGTACGATCAATATACTAAAACATAAACAATGTAGCGAAAGCTCTGATAATGTCAACATTTTAGTTTTTTCTGCAGGTCATTCAGAGTGGCATCAAGCTCATCAGTTTCACGATCCATTTCTTTGACTGTTCTCTTAAAGCTGTTAGCCTTAGTAACATGGTGAAGATTTTGTTCTTTCTCTGCGCGGTCCATGAGCTTTTCGATGCTTTCTTTGTTCAGTGCGGTAATTAGAAGATGCTTGTCTTGCCGCATTCCTCAGTTCTTGGTCAATGTTATAAAAATAGCTTTCTTTCAATAAAGAGGTCAAAAGAGAGTCAAGACGTACATCTTTGATCTTGTTATAGTGTTTGAATTTCAGCAGAGTTTGAGGGTTAACATGAACAGTTTCTGTTAAAAACTGTTGGTACTCGCTTTAATCTGTCAGCATCCATTTCCTTAACCCTCCTTGCATCCATAAGGCAATTAAGTAAACGTTCAAACAACTTTACTGAGACAGGGACGGACTCAGCCGTAACACAGGGATCCAAGCATCTCATGCAGCGCACAAGTAGATACTTGAGAGAGCATTTCTCTAACATCTTCTCTACAGACTTTACAGGATTTGCACTGGATTCTGAACGCAAGAATATCTTTCTGAGTGGCTTTTTCTTCACGCTGCAAATCTTCCTCTCTTTTAGTTGCAATGCCAACATCAATTAGCTTAGCTGATTTACAGTTATCTTGAGATGTAATATCAATGCTTGCTAGCTTCAAATACGATGACGCACTTGCCATAACATCGTCTTTTATAAAACGAACCGTAAGATTTCTGAGTAGCTTGTCCAAATCGAACGGAAAAGGAATGAGAGGTCTGTCTGCTTGATACAGAGTCAAAAAAGGCTCAAATTCTTGCGCTATGGAGATCCAGAATAAGTGTTTCGCTTTTAAAAACTTGTCAGTTGTAGCGAGGCTTTTGACAAAAGCATATCCTTCATGTTTTTGGGGCTCCGTTTTTCATAGTCAAGCTTGTTCACAATAGTCCTTTATACTTCCCATTAATGATAATGACTTAGAAGCAACATTAAGATTTTCTAACCACCTGTTGGAGAAAAGGCACTCAGTGTATCATGTTCATCAATTTTAAAAAAAGCCTCTATTGAAACTAGTACATTACTATTAATTCTTACCTGTGCTTGCAAAATTTTGAGGGGAAGATTGCAGATCCCGTGTAACTTACAAAATCTTCACGTGGAGCTGGCGATTCTTTAAAGAGTTGATACTCCTTAAGAAAATACTTGTCAAGATTCCAGTCGGTTGCTTTAGCTCCAGTTTGGAAAGCCCTATGTATAGTATGCAAACCACAGGTTCCAAGATCAAGAAGGTGCGKCAAGTCGTCTTCAACACGCTGGTCAACAAGCTTCTTGTGGAGTGAGATATTTACGTTGGGGCCATCGAGTCATCCTTTACTCTACGAAGAAGCCCTGTGATTGGCCGATCTATCGCGATGACGTCATTTTTAAGGGTATAATCGTAGTTTCAAATAATTTATGGGCAATAATTGATGATAATAATAAGACCAATAAGAACAGTTATAAATGATAATGATAAAGGTC